GGTAGCCCTATCCAATTAAAATCCATCACAAAATTAACAACTACACACATTTTGTTTACTATTGATGAAGATATCGTGAAAATATACCTTTATACAAAAAAAGACGGATTCATAAGCTTCTTTTTTTTTGAAGACGATGAATAATTGATCTTCATAAAAATTTCATTTCATTCACAATCTAAGAACATAAGTATTACTTTAATTATAAAATATTTAAACTTTATTATTGGATACCCTACAACAACGTCCGAATCATACTCAAAGAATAAATTTACAATACAAATACGATATTTACCGCGATCATTACGCAACCAATAACGCAACAATGTTCATTCATGATCATGACTAGAAGTCGTTATTTAAAAAAAACTCAATTTTTAAACCGTGGGTACTTTAAATTGTGCATGAATTCGACATGGCACACGGCAGGTTGACTTGTATGGGATCACTTTTTTCTTTTACGGTTTCTGACGTTTCTTGTACGTATAATATACTTTTTACAATCGGTAAAACATGATCGATTTGATCTGATTTTTGTGTTTGCTTACTCAACCTTTTTGACTTATTGCACTTCGTAGATGATACAGTTTGACTCCCACGCATATGGCATTATGAATTGGTTATACCGTGGGATAACCTTAAGGTACTTTACAAAATTTTACAAAGAGATATCCATGATTCCATTACCTATTATTTAATTTGAATAGTCAATTTAAAATAACTTCTTCTTTTTTATTTTAAGTTTTATTACAATAATTACCTTTGTAGCAGAATACAAAACACTACTTGCATGACGTTGAAAAGGTCGTTAACTGCATTACAATGCGGTATATAAATTTGGTTCTAAATCTGAACTACTAAATAAGTATTATATAATGATGATTTTGGCTCCCGGGGCAAGCGTCCCACTTGCCCCCTAGATTCGGGCCTGCACCCAACCTAATCTAGTCTTGGTAAGTCGATATTTTGCATTTACATCATACATACACTATATAAAAGAAAAAGAGGAAAGTACAAAAACAAGACAGGATTTTAAAATACTTCACTGAAATAAAGATACACTATCAACGAGTAACTTATGCTTCATAAGTATATTTTATTGCTACAAATTTATTTATTTATTTATTTATTTATTATTATTTAAATTATTTTATACCGAATGTTTTGAACTGAAATCGTGTCACTCAGTTTAATATAAGTGTTTAAAATGACACAATCTAACATGCGAGTTCATTAGGTTATACAAAAATCAACTATGTGAATTCCCATTTTTTAATCTTATTTCAATTATAAGCAAATATAAAAAAGAATTGAGCATTTGAACTTTGAATGCGCATGGCAGTTTTCACATAACAATTCGTTTTTATTCACGTATATTAATGAATTATCACATAGGAATCTCATTTATGCAATTACTTACTTGATTTCTTTGACATGTCATCGCGACTCTACATTTTACAATTAAAATACCCAATGTGTGGTCCTATCGACCGCAAATAATTCCATGGCTCTTTTGTGACTTGTGCAACTAAGGGTCGCTACCCTCACTATTGTACCAGATCTATTCGATTGTTACAGATTGATTTATTGACTAAAATGTTGACGATAGCAACCCGGCAGTTGAGTTTAATTTATGCAATCGCTTTCGCTTTTAATTGAATTGTGTAGTGCGTCAAAAATGAAAACACTTTTATTCATAATTGTTATTCGAGATTAAAGGAACATTTTTATTAGTCTAGTTAGCTCTTCTAATACACAGAAAACTTTGTCTAGTTTTTTTTTGTATGATTATATAAAGTACAGCTTGAATTGAAACAAAAAATATCAAAGTAACTTTAATAAAGATATTCAATATAGTTAACAATAATAACCACTTCTAACTTAGAACTCGTCTTTAATGAGTGGCTTCTTTAAGTCAGTTAAAAAATCTTCAAGAAGCGACTTGATATCGGTAATATTCAATTGTAGACTCTCAAAGTACTCTTTCTTACTGTCATCTTCGATATACTTCAATAATGTCTCAAATAGTGTCACGGCTTTGTTTTTACCTTTCAATACTTTTACGCAATAAGGTTTCATGTGCTTTATAAGTTCAAAAACCGGAGCTATAATATTATTTTCATTATTGCTATACGACCAAGTGGTTTCAAAGATATTGAGTAAGCCGTTACACACGGATGGTGTAGACATACGTTCAATCAAACCTATCCTTTGATAGAGCATCAATTTGTCAGGATCTATTTTACCCTGCTTTCTTTCACTGTGCACTTTTATATGTTCATTCAGAATTATATTAAACAGATCAAGAAGCGTTGAAATGACAGAGGTGTCCAATTTAGTCACTTGTTCGTAAAAAGGTTCTAAGCCTTTTAGTTTCATTACACGGACTTGAACTTTGGGATTTTCTGGTAGCCATTTGTAAAGTATGTCTAGTACATGTGCCTTCATTGCCAGATTATTGTCGGTCTCAAATATATCTAATAGTTTGTCTATAACAGTTATCGGTATAACTTCAGTAGTGTCAGGCAAAGCATAAAACAGAGATTTTAATATTTCTAAAACAAAACCTCTTAGTTTAGAATTATCGACATCCATGTACGGCATAATGACTCTACTGATTCCTTTAGCTTTAACGAACTTTTTCGCATGATCTGGTTCTTTCAGAACTTCCGTTAAGTCTTCAAATGTGTCTGTTATTTCGTCGTACAATAATACTATTTCTTCTGATGGAGAAATTACATCTGTAGAAAGCTTTTTGGCAGCTTGTGCTGTGTACTCAATGGTCTCTATAGCTTTTTCTATGATATCAGTATCGTCGTGGTAATCTAATTCCGGAGATGATTCTGTAAAAAATATACGATTTACCAAAGACCAACTACAAAGGAGTTTAATATTAACCAGTAATTAGATGTCACGAAAGAAAATTGATAATTTCAATTTTAATAAGTACTGATTTATATATCTTTACCTAGTTGTGTTTGTATTCGTTGCTCTCCATTTTCAGACTTACAAAAACTTATTATTAAAGTCACGGATAAAGCAAAAAACAGAAACGCCTTCATTATTCCCACTGAGTCTAGAACTATGAACTCCACCAATCTCAACCAATCTGCCCTTATTTGTGTCTTTAAATTCGTTTTATTTTTTAAGGTTTTTAAATTCTATAATGTTTTTAATTACCAAAAAGAGGAACTTCTTTACAAAGAGTAAAATATATTTATATATATAAAACTTTCTCTATGAAAAACTATAAGTTACAACTTTTTATAGTGCATTTAATAGTTTTGTTTGTTATCTAGCTTGCTGCCAGCGGCTTCGCTCGCATGGTTCTCGAAGTATATTATACATATAAACATTCCTCTTGAATCACGAAGTATATGACAGCGGAAAGCGACTCTGTTTCATACGCATTATAAGCATTTCTTAGGCACCGATTAATATAAAAAATAGGACGCCATTCGCTTGTCCTTCCAGAAACCAGTTTTTAAACAAAAAACGACTCATATACTTAAAATCGGGGAATCAATCAGTTATGTGTATACCGCATTAGTAATGAAGCGATAACAAAGTGAGTTGACCTGGAAGATAGAGTCGGTGTAAAAATCTACAAACGCATGCTCTATGACTTAGAATAATAACTAAAGCATAAAAACCTGAAAAGCTGATACTTCGGCGCGGTTTCTATACTTGTGCAAACGAAGACATGTATTCGTTTTTTTTTAAGCGTTAGAAAGAGATGTATAATAGCAGTCATGTCTCAATTTATGTAGGTTCTCGCAAGTTTTATGCAAACCCATAGATTTAATATTTTTACCTTAATGACGTTCCTTGTCGACATTTTACCGGTAAAAGCGAATTGATTGAAATAAGATACTGTGATATGATTTTGAAAATATAACGATTTTATATCAAACATAATATGTAAAATATTTTTTTTTTAAGTTATTCACTTATTTCAATAAAGTTGAAAACAATCATAACTTACCGATGAAAGGTTAATGTTTCTTGAGTATTTTCTTTTCTTCCTGTGCGAGACTTTCGGCCAACGATACGATTTTTTATCGCAGACGTTCTTTAATAATCAGGTTTTACTATTACTAACACTACTTTGAGTTCTCTTTGAATAAAATTTTATTATTTGTAATTTTATCTCTGAGATATACCAAAATTACCGTGTAAACAATAATGTAACTCTGATACGATTTTAAGTTGTCATATATTTATACAAGATTGAGAAAATATAACGACATTTTAATCTTGTAGTGTAAAATTGTAAATACTTCCAAATTTACAGCCAGTTTAACAATGAACTTGTGTCAACCTTGATAAATAAGAAAGAAATGTGGATTTGTTATCTCATTTACTCTTATAGCCAAATTTAATTTCGTTATTATGAGACAGATAGCTATTCTCAACTTACTTTTACCATGGTTTCTATGTTTTGTCATTTTTCTAAGGTCTGTCTATGCCTAATTATGTCAATGTTTTAAAGAAATAACGACGTTTAGATCTTCTTCTTCTTAACTTTAATGGCACTTTGCGACGTTTAGATCATCACCATCTTCCATTTATTTCCTTTTCATTTTACATGTAGACATTAATTTATTCGCTTGACATTAGGGAAATGCGAAGATAATCCATTAATAAAAGACGTTTATGTGACATATCAAATAAAATCAATGAAAGAGCTCAGTGAAAGGATCTCAAATCTATTTTTATATCTTATAATAAATAAATTTGAAGTTATAAAAATATACAAAATATCTAAAAGGTTATTAGCTTAGGATACATATTTATATGTTATACAAAATTCTCTATGATAAATATTCTCTGTAAATGAAGTTTAAGATGATATTGATGATAATCAAATCAATATACATTTTTTTCTCTATGGATGCTTGCAGCTTCGTGCCAAATCTAAAACATATAAATTTTTAAAATCCGCCAATCAATGTTCAACTATTTAAAGTATTATCACTTAGATTGTTTTATTAATTACTAGTAAATGTAATGTTTTAAACCTTGACTGTTGCCAACTGGTTAATCGTATAGAAAATGGAGAGTCCCACTTCAAGCAGTATATCTGTGACGAAACGATTGGCCGCGTTGATGCCATGCGATGACAATTCTTGTTGCTGCATACCACGGAGGAGTACTGTCATTCTCATCTCAATTATTAACTTTGTAAGGAATATTTAAAGTATTAGACATAGGTAACGACGTTTTACATAAAGTTTACATAAGTATACGTACATTAACTATAAATAGAGTATGGCCGATTGACATTATTCGAGTCCAGCGAATCCAGTGCTGGAATCTACTAGATCCATGAAAAATCTAGTGCGATTATTACCTTCTTTCAGTATTTCAGCACTGGATTCGTTCGCTGGTCTATAATTATTAAAACCGAGCATTTCGATAATAATAACCTTCTCAAGTCTAAAGATGTTTTTGGTACAAAATGTAAGCACATATAAAAAGCTAATTTAGGTAAACATGCCAGGTTACTACAAATGTGAAATTCTGCAATTGACTTTGAACTCTACCCTCAAATTAAGGTTTTAAAATCAAGTTGACAGTTGAAAAAAAAAGACAGTTTTGTAAAACGTAATGTCCTGTTAACTGTACATTATCTATTCTAAAATCGTTATTTCATTCTAATTCTAATTGGAATCTGCAGAATAGAAATATTAAATAATAATATTACTAAATTTAACTTCATGATTCTTTTCTTAGTAAATTTAAGTGTAAATAAAAATATCAATTCTTACTATCATCTAATTTTGACTATGAACTGTTGACGAAATGATGAATGAATGAATTCTACTTTTAATTATTACATATGTATACGTATAAAATTCGCTGTTTCTGCCATAAAAGGGACCCTAAAATTCACCCCGGTTATTGAAGCTGTAACTGAATAAAGGTTGATTCAAGTTGGGTTTCTTTACACTTGTGTTTTTTTAATTTTTAGGCGTTGTTTTTTAATATAGTAATTAATTCACTGCATACAAATCGTTACAGTTTGGCTGCCTAATGGATCTAATGTCGAGCGATACATGTATGAGTGCATACTGCGAGGCGCGGGAGTACGCTGATTCGCTCAGAAAATTGTTGGTCACGTTATTCCAAGTTGCCAATTTGTTGCTATTGCTTGCCTCTATATTTGTGAGTATATATCGTTTTACACACTTCCTATAAATATTATTTAACCTCTTCAAAAACTTGAACATACTAGCTGTTTGCTATGAGTTTCCTCGCTTCACCACATCACCTATCTAGACAAACCCTATCAGTCCTATACTGGCCATATAAGTTAAGATATAACTGTCGAATTTAAAACTCTTTTAAATTTCAGTTAAAGCCAGAGTCTATTAATGATACCTACGTATTACAGTGAAAACCCTTCTGATTTTTTATAAATATAAAATAGAAACATACGTATTGTATATAAAAATTCCTGTACAATAATAATCAAAAGAATGTTTAATCGTATTTAAGAGTAAACCCCGAAAAATTACCTAAGTATAATCGTTCGGGCGGGCGTTATATTACAGTCTGTTATGTAGGTATTAGGATTTTGTCAAGCATGTTCTGTATGTTTTACTTAATAATTAATTTACTTAATAAAAAATATTATTTATTCTAATAATATAAAAAGAAAAAAAATAGATTGTATTGACTGATTTTAAAATTTCTTTCATCTATTTTAAGCTTTAAGCAACATCGAACGCAGGGGCATATTGCTTTATTTCTAAGAAAATATAAACTGCTAGTTATTAATATTAATATTTTGCTTCATATTTAAAATCTACAGGAGAACGCTTTTTTGGTGGATATATACGTGTGGTACACTCTCGGTTATATAGTAATGGGGTTCATAGTCACTATATACGAGTTCCTGGTGAAAATAAAGAATGTTGGAGTTCGTAGTTTACTAACGTTCATACCTGAAGTCATATTTTTCTTTGGTAAGATTTTAAATTGTACTCTTAGAACAAAAATTATCGATTGCGATCGATTTCGTAGCAGATACTATGTAATTTTTTTATACTTATTAATATTTGCACTGCGCTGCCTGTTACCGTAAAAGTAACTAAAATATCTAAATGTAACTTTTTTTAATCAATCAATATTCGTTACGGACCGTTTATAGCTATGACTCTAGACATTATCTAACTTTGTTTGTTTGTGGAGGGTAATTTTCGGAAATACTGATCCGATTGTGAACTTTTTTTAACCACGGAAGCTTTACCTGGGCGAAGTCGTGAGAAACTGCTAATCATTGATAATTACCATATAGCGTGATTGTAGTTACGCGATTGCAATTGATCGAGAACTAGATAGCGCAGTAGTTAGCGTATTCAGTCTGTAATGCGAAAGTTAAGCAACCTTGGCCCAGTGTGGTGAGTGTTATTTTTTTTTATTTCTTTATGGGATAGGGGGCAGACGAGCAAACGGATCACCTGATGGTAAGTGATTACCGTCGCCCATGGACACCTGCAACACCAGAGGGGCTACAAGCGCGCTGGCGGCCTTTGAGGGACGAATATGATCTTAGGGAGGGAAGGGTTGAGGGGTGGAGGGAAGGGAATAGGAAGGGGTTGGGCCTCCGGTACCCTCACTCACACGACGAAACACAACGCAAGCGTTGCTTCACATCGGTTTTCTGTGAGGCCGTGGTATCACTCCGGTCGAGCCGGCCCATTCATGCCGAAGCGAGGCTCACTCGTGGCAGATGCAGTTCGAAGCAGGGGCAATGACCAGTTATTGGATGAGCGACGGAAAATATATTATCTCGAACTCCTCCCTGCTTCGGACTGCATCTGCAGTTAACACCCACCACACTGGGCCCATTTTCCCTATTCAGTTCGATTAAATTTCATCTATGTTGAAGGCCTATCCCAGCATTGGAGATATCAATAGGCTGATGGTAATGAATGATTTTCCCATTTCCAGTAATATTCCGCTGCTTGCCGTTGGTCGACTTGTACAGGCGACATCTCTACAGTATGTCTGCTGTAGCTCTCATTGAATAAAATAATTTATCCAAAAGTGAATTGATGTTTTTTTTTCTATTAAGTATCGTCGCACCTTGCGAGAGATATCTGGTGTGCGATAACACATTGCAAAATCCTTGAGGCCAGGGACAGTAATCTCAATTAAAGTACGTGTACTCAACTATAGATCGATGATATAATTTGAAGGGTTGCGACTGTATTTTTTTTAAATACCTATATATATTTGAGAACTTTGAGAGCTGGAAGTTAACATCGAAAGAGCCGTAGATTGCTAACCCCTGCTCGCGCCAATACATTTGCCGCTATCTGTATCTGTTTCGCCGAAGAAAAGAATAAAGCGACGGAGAATGCCTATATCATGCCGCCAGATGTACATAGACGTAGTTAACAACGTCATCATAATAAAATATACTATTTTTTTAATTATATATACATATCACAGGCACAGGTAATAAATAAGTGAATTATTTACAATGCCCGCATATAAGAGTTAAAGAGAGGCTGAATAGCTTAGGGCAAAATAATAACTTATGATTTGAACTTGTTTATTATTACCGTTGCCTTGATAGTGGATTTCGGGCAACGTAATGTGTAAAAACTTTATACACAGGTAGGGTCAACAGCACTTCGGGGAATACAGATCTGTCAAATTGATTTTAAGCTTTAATACTTTTTGGGTAGAGTTTAAAATCAAGTGGTGAAATTTTGACATATTGTGGTAACTTGACGTACTCACACCGTATAAACCTTCCCTGGACTACGACAAACATTTCAAAATTAAAACAAACAAACAGCTGTTGATGTTTATATTATTTTTTGTACCGTATTTGAGTTGAGTTGTGCCTATTAAACATAGCTACTAAAGCCCAACGATAAAAATAGAAACAATGTATTAAAATTATTAAAGGAACATTATATGTACAGTGGTTTTAAATACTTTTAAAATATTATACTTTCACATATATAAAAGCTTTTACGTTATTATTTAACGGGTCTACTTATACTTTGTTTGTGTATAATTATTTGTTAATTTTCACTCTATTCAAGGGGTATGCGAATTACCGTACAAACAGAATACCTATACAAAGTCAATTAACGAATGAAACCATGTTTTACTTTTAAATAATTTTTCATTTTAATATTTTTGTACTATCTACTATATACATGGTGAATATTAAATATCTATAGAAAAACATATCATACAACAAAGTAAAACCTAACGTTATCAACTAAACTATTAAACACTCGTCGCCGTCAGCAAAACACTTAATTACTTCAATTCAATTATAAATTTGGAAGCCATCACTATAATACACAAAGCATTTTGAAAACGGATACAAGTTTAATCCAATAGAACTTATAAAATATATTATTGAAGGATAATCGACTCTATTCCTCCCAAATATAGTATAGGATGAAGTTATTATTACTCAAACGTTAAAGAAAATAAAATGCGATATACAACTCTATTCCTTCATAATATAGAGAAATAGGTTATCCTTCGATGGGACACGACTAATGACAACGACGATATACATAGATAGATTCGCTTCTAAAGAGTGTTTTGCCACATCAGCGAAATACAATCTGTCTGTCTGTGTATATTTATTACATTGACGTCATAATCTTTATTTTTAACACATGTTGTTATTACTACTTTATATCAATAAAATAAAAAATCATTAAAAAACTTTCTCATATATTAATATGGTTTTATTATTTTAAAAGAGATAATCAATTGGCTGTTTTCCTGCCGGACTAAATAAAAACACTCGATTAACTTAAAGTGGCCAAGTAATGTATTGGTAGAATTATTCCGCCGTGAATTAAATCATCAAGTAGAGAAATAACATTTTATATAACATCAATATTTCTGATAAAGAAATTACTTTTAAAATAAAGATAAAATGTGGACAAATATAAGAAGTCTAACACAGAATATGAAGCTGTATACAATTAATGAATACCTAATTGTGAAAACTGCTATAATAAGATATTGCCGCCTCATAATGCTCAATGGTTTTGTAAACTCGACGGCCCAAAAATTATATAAAATACATTTGAATCGCCGTTATGTGATCAACTGACCCGTCGTGAGGTCACATGTGACTGTGACTCAAATTTATTTGCTTGATTTCTTAGCAGACGAACTTCAAAACATTGGGTGTATTGGGCAACATTACCTTATTTTGCTAGTACAGCTATTATCTAAAAAGAAGTTCTGGGATAGACATTTCAATATATTAACATAGGATTAAAGTACGTTCAGAGCTCTTACGGTTTCATAATATAATGCAAACGTCATATTAAAGTGAGACACCCTTATATGCGGTATATAGCACCATCCCGCTTCCATCATTGCAGTTGCATTGCGTTAAAAAACTTATATAAGACCTCTGTTGACAGTTTAATGCTTAATATTTAACGTGTGTCATCTGAACATAGGCTTATTTTACAAAGGCACATCTTTCGCATCAAACGGATGTCACTATTTCATTTGACATTACATATATACATATTAGTAAATGTTACAAACAATAGGGAAATTGTCATTGAAGTCACAGCTTTACTAGAAGAGTAAATTTAAGTTTTAACAATATATCGTAAAATAATATAACCCAACTGAAAAGAATTTGAAATGTAATAAAATGTTAATGAGGTCTGGAAGTTTTCAATTTGGAGTAAAATAAATAGCCTTAAAGATGCCGATATGAATCAAACAATATCTTTAACTACTATGAAACGGTTCGTGATTTTCAAATTACACTTTCGCCTAGACTAAATAGTTCCTAAAAGCATATATATATATATACGGTACTTTAATTTTTCCCTTTTAAGTTACACTTCATTATTGGTGACAATGGAAAATTTCTCAATTTTTTTATTATATTCCGTAATTTTGCCTATTTGTGAATATTCGTTGTTGCCATTACCCGTTACAAGCATTTGCAAAGCAATACTGTTTTGACCTTGTGGGTTTACTAACTAGCATTTTGCTTTTTCGACCATCTACATATTCCGCTTTTTTTTTTTTTTAATAATTATATAACAATCACAATGAACACTTGACGATACAAACTATCACTTATTTTTGACTCATTTCTTAGCTATATTAATTAAAACGGAAATGAAATTTTAGTAGAAGTATAGGAAAAAATTAATTCATCGTATTGTTAAACAGAAATTGCAGAAGTTTCATAACTTTCACTTATCTCTATTTAGACGTTATTCAGGTTAAATTACAATAGATAACTATTTAAGGATAAGTATCATATAGTCATAAAAAGATGTAGAATCTTACTACTTCTTAGTGTTACCTTTTAGTTATTAGATCATCTGAATAACTTATGGCGTGTAGAAGTTTTGAGACAACATTTATTGAATAAGTGAAACGAGTTTACACCTAGTAATTGATGTATCTCCGAGTAGCTCAAAAGACGTTTTCGTTATATTAAACCTCATTTGTACGGCACGAGTTCAAAATTCATCCTTTCCACCATAGAAATAAGGTTGAGATTTCATTAACGAACTAGTACTTTCAATCTAAACGAAACTGGTACAGCTTAGCTGTAGTAAACTTCTAAAATGCTATTCTGTAACTGCAGTGAGTTGTATATGTCTTCAGTTAATGATTCTTTAGATATTATTCATAACATCATTATAACCCCATTTGTAACATTCTCGATTATTATTTTTTTAAATAATTTTACAGATACATTGTCAAACAATCATAGATGTTTGTATGAATACGAAAAAGAACACATTAATTTTCCAGTTAATAAAATAGTTTTGGCACTAGAAAATGTACTGAGAAATTTAAAGATACTTTAAACAGCCGTGAGATCATATTAAAATGGTTACATTAAAAAGAAAATTTACTTTAAACAAACTTAATTACTAACTAAAGAACTTAAAATAGTCTTTGCTCCTTGTAATAAAACAAAGTCCTTTTCTGGCAGATATTACATTGATATCAGCATTGAGCTACATCTATTAATCGAAGGTCACTTACCCTGCTGCTATTACATTTTAATTACATTTTCACATACAGATTAACTGTAACATACACTTGGCTCGAATTTTTTTTGCTGTTGTCATTGCATAAGGCTCCCAGTAAATGAATTTGATGTCTCGCTTAAAAAGTATTTTAACCACATATTGATAATTTTAAATTAATAGATTCGATAAATTTCTGAGATTATTGATTTTGTTAAAAAAATACTGAAAGTTAAGATTAGTCAAGGTAGAAAAGAATTATTCGTTTTAATAGAGTACATATAGCGGGTAATCCACTAGACAGAAATGCCAGCAGACAAGTGTGCCGGCTAGACTTCGTTACTCTAGGGCGGGCATGTCTAGCTAGTGTAGAACCATGAATACATAACAGATTACATATAAATGTATTGACATAAGTCATCACTAACAACTGACTAACAAACAGCATTAATTCCCACATAATTATGTTTCGGTTAGGAACAAGTAGTGTTTTGGTACTTTTTTTTTATCTCTAGACTGTATCACTGTATGCTTTTTCTTTTTTTTAAAGGCACCGTTACGATCTTATTGTTTTTTAATGTAGAAAAACAAAGTGCAATTTGGTTTCTGTACCAAATATGAATGTTATTGTTATTTTAACATCAAAACCTACTACAATTTTATATAAACAAAAATAAAATGTTCTTTCATTTGGAATTGCATCCAGTAGTTCTAAATTTAATACAAAAGTGAGGCTTAAAAAATTT